TCTCGTGAAGGCAACCCGAAGGCTTAGCTACCAAAGAACCCCTTTTGTTTGTTCACCTTCTCCACTAGGATATCAAACCTCCATTTGAAACAACACAGGAAAGATAGAAAACAACAGATGAAACTACACAGCCTTTGTTGAAGGGACGATTGATGCGTTAAAATTTATTAGCAAGTGCACTAGTCACTCAATTAATAAAGTGATGAATGAAGTATATTCCAACAATGATTATAACTAATTAATTATAGAAAATAACTAATTTTAGAATTATCTAAACAATTAAAAAAGAAGAATTTTTAACTAAAACTAATTAAATGAAAATAATAATTAAAAATAAAATCACTAAAATATAAGGTATTAAGACATTTGATTTCACAATAACCTATCAACATAGATTTTAAATTATTATGCTTTCAAGATATCTGCTATTTTTATGTGATAGTGAGATTTTCTATCTTATTTAATATATTTTTTCAAATTACACGAAATATATTTTCACCTAAGCCACTATATCTCAATGCGAATTTTAAATAGATAAAGATATATTTTATTATGTGAAATCCTCTAATTTAAGTAAAAAAATTAAATTCTACTTATCTCTAATACTATACAAATCATGTTGATTCATTTCTAACCTTCAATTCACGGTATATGTTATTAAAAACTATTGCATAAATTCTTTTCTTAGTTTTAATTGTGCTCTTCATATCAATTTTAATTGTTATAAAGTATTAAAAACATTAAAAACAATAATATATACTAATCATGAAATAATAATATTAAAAATATAAAAATCATAAAAATCTATATTAAATTGATTAAGTTATATCATGGTTTTAGTTGGCTAAATTAGTTCAAAATAAAAATATTAAAACTTAAAATTATACCAATATATGAACATAAGAATATCAACCAATAAATAAAAATAATCTTAAAAAAAATAAAACTTAGTTTTAAAAAATTAAAATATTTTATTATTAATAATGAATTTCTTATTATCTCCCTTTTCTTAATTTCAAAGGGACTGCCAAAAGCCTCCCAAAAATTCCTCAATTTTGGTCTTAAATGAATATTTATAAGATTTAAAAAAAATTCAATTATAATAAACATATGATCCACACAAATTTAATAAGGTGTGAGGCGGGTGGACTTGCTGAAAGTCGCATAGGATATCGAC